ATATAGCGTTGTTATTTTCCTCACTTGCGGAATTTTGTATAGAATTTAAAACACTTTCGTCACTGCTAGTGATCACACTCACGCGTTACAGTTTATTTTTAATTAAGAAATGAACTAAAGTAAACATTTTTATTGAGAAAACAGCCATCGCATGTTTATACTTCGAACGGACCATTGTTCATTTTCAGAGAATTTTGAATACTCATGAACTGAGTGATCACCATCCGAACTATTTTCATTTTATTGGAGTAGGATGAATTATTCATATCCCATCATAGGGTTTAGGGGGAAACAAACCTCTTTTATTCTCGATTTTTTTTTTACACGATACCAATGCTAATGACATCTTGAAATCACTTTTACCATTGGAAGTATGAGTCGCCATCTTGCGTTTTATTGTTTCCATTGTTTGTCTCACTCGATGTTTGACTGTAAGGATTTTGATTTTGATTTTAATACGGGAATAAGTGGGTTAGGGAATTGGGCTTAGGATGAGAGTTAGGGGTGGGGTCGTGTGAGTGACCGCAATAACCCAGGTTCGAATCCTGGTCACGACAATTTTTTTTCCTTTTATTCTAAAATAAACGTTTTTTGAATATTCATTTTATCTTGAAATCATTTTCCGTAAGGGAGGACTAAACACCATCTTAGGTTTCATTATTTTTATTGTTTTTACACCATCTTAGATGACCTTTATTTTTTCAAATTATGAAAAAACACGCTCCTATAACCTACACAATTTAACCCTAAAACAAGATTTATTCAACGGTTTTATTTTGTGTTCCTTCCTACATCTCTCACATTTCCTTCTAGTTTTCAAGTGTGGATACGCTATTGTCGTAGAACCGGTATGGGTAGTTGCGTGATACTATGTATCATTCATAAGAAACACTCATATTTCGTCTATCCATTTTGGTTTTTAGAGTGCTCTTATTATTTTTAAATTGTCCTGCCAAAACGCTTCTCTCTCTATTTCTTCTTCTTTTAGTACACACCATTTCGCATTGACCGCAATCCCAGGAGAAATCGTAAAAGTCAGACATTATAATACTGACCAAGAGTTTATAGCGACAAGGTCTATCCGAACACTTTGACAGCTTGTCAATCCCTGTCTTACGATCGTAAGTCTCTTACAGATTGAGCAGTGCGTTATAATGCTCGTAAGA